GGTTTACTTGCTGTCATATTATAGCCATATTAATTTTTTTAGTTCATATTGTGAACGCATAAAACACTCTCCAGCCTCCTTAAATGATTATAATTCTAAAAAACAAAATGCCTCGCTCCTTCATCCCTCATTAAGGATGCATTTTCTTGATCATCTGGAATACTATTTCAATTTCAGTCAAGACCAGGGCAAGTCCATGCAGTTGCGGTGGGAGGACAGGAGGGGATCTTTGGTTTTGGAGAGGTTCCTGCCCGGGTGGATATGGCTACACACATTCTTGCCAACTTCCCTTCAATATTTGCTGTTTCCCAAGAACTTAATAACAGGTTATAGATAAACTGAAGCTAACTAGAAGCTTAGTAATTCAAAAAAATGATAAATTGGTCAAACGAATAGTGATTAAGTGAAGATTAAAACTTAAAAGTCTTCAGAGTGTTAACTTCGAGGTAAGCATGTTGTAATCATGAGCAAATGAACTACAAATAAAATCACAGGAACTCAAAGAGATGGTAGTTTTTGTGCTTTGAATAATTAGGGGGCATTCACAAATATCTGTTAAGGGGGGGGGACTGATGAGAAAGTGGGGAGTTCCCCAAAAAAATGAAGATATAAAAGGGGGTACTGGAAAAAGAGAAAGCTCTAAAGGGGGGTACCCGAAATTAAAAAGATAAGCAAGGCCACGGAATAACATGTTCATTTATACTTCAACAATATCATGAAAACTCAACCTATGAACTCTGATATTTTAATATTAAAATATTTTAAAGTGATGAATAACACTTGTTATTTCTTCTTTGTAATTTTCAAAAATACAAAAACAGTTTTAATCTTAAAATATTTCGGCATTTTCATGCCATCATAAGAAGATAATGATTTGAAATTGATGATGATACATGTGATTGACATACATTTGAAAAAACATGCGTAATAAGTAAATTACGAGCCTTAGACGAGCCCATCCCAAACGGCGCACTGCCACATCTATCTAGTACTACTTTTTCGTGGGATTGCCAGCACACTAGATACACTGTGCTGACGAGGCCCAATACAGGCCGAAACAGCTGTCCACAGTTTCTAGTTGAGCTGGCTCATTTTTTACGCGACTTGAAGTTGTGAAAGGCTTGTATGGCACTCTTCTTTAGTCGTTTCATCTAAGGCTCGTAATTTACTTATTACGCATGTTCTTATTTGATATCCGAGCCCATCCCACACGGCGCACTGCCACATCTATCTAGTACTACATTTGAAAAAACAATTAAATGTACGCATGAAGTCACAAAAGAAGATAGTGTAACAGCTACTAGATCGGGAAGAAGGATTGTGAGAAGATTCGAGACTGACTGGCTGTACTACTAATTGTGTAGAGCCTGTAGGCAGGCTAACTGATTGTGGTAAAGTAAGAAATTAGAAATGCCTTCATTAGAGTGTTTCTCGCATGAGTTTTCAATTGAAATTTTTCTATAGATATATACACACTGACAGCTACGTTACGGGCTATATCGTTTTCAAATCAAATGAGAAGCACTCTTTTATGATACACTAAATATTTAGTTGATGAAGAGTGAATTTGAAGTCTAAAAGTTCCAGATTTGGGGGAGAGGCCGGGGTGTCTCAAATTATGAAGTTTCTATGCTAAGGGGGGTCCCTGAAATTTTTATAATGGAAGAAGGGGGGTCCTGCAATTTTTTTTTCACAAAGGATAATTTCTAATCAGTCCCCCCTCCCCCACCCTTCCCCCGACAAGTTTTTCTGAATACTCCCTTAAAATTAATAAAAATACATTTCAAGAGACGAAGGAAGCAAATTGATTTATTGATTTTTACTTCCAATTCGGGGGGTTATTGATTAAGAAAAATTTTCAATCATTTACTCCCCAAAATAAGCCAAGCTTTTCTCCAATTTCCTTTACAAGTATTTTTTTTTTATCTTGTTCTCGATTCTCCGGGTTTGTAAACAAATTATTGCTTCTTGAAAGAAAGCCTTGAGCTATTGACTCGCGCAGGCAACATTGTTGCACTCTTTGATATCAATTAAACTAGAGTTTATTCAGAATCGCATGATTTATACAGTAAGCGAGTTTTCATCGCAATAGACGACTTGCAATAAGAGGTCACGTGATCAAATCGACCATCGTGGCTGGCATTCTATAGGATTTTAGCTATGCGAGAATGTAAAAAAAAAGATGGCGGATTCAGGGTTTTTTTTTCTGTGATGAATGGTAAGTTAGCGCACTAAATAACGATGAAAATCCCCTTTTATTGCAAGAAATATATACTTAGTAGATATCTAAAGTAGATTTTTGCTATTAACTCGCCAAAAAATATCAAGTATTTCTCAACTTCATTCTTAAAAAATGCCTTTAAGTTAAGTTAAGTTAAGTTAAGTTAAGTTAAGTTAAGTTAAGTTAAGTTAAGTTA